CAAATCTTTCCATGAAGTTTTTGAAGAGCTCTCATATGTTAAAGTCAGTATTGTACCAATAGGAACTTGGAATTTATTAAGAATGTTTGCTTCTGTACTCAAAAGGTAGTTCAATTGCAACGTATTATATAAAAATATACTGAAAAGGCCTTTGATAAAATTCAATGATCATCTCTAATAAAAGCTCCATGAAAAAATGCAAATAAAAACAATAGTCCAAAAACACTAAAATCACTTTAATTAAAGCCAGGAACTGCATACTTAAACAACTAAGTCATTAGAGTAAAAACTACTAGAGTTAATAAGATCATTTGTTTTGGTAACTGAATATAAGATAAACATACAAAAATCAGTAGTTTTTCTTTAAGTTTCTATAACTAGTGAGGTGAGGTCAATGGAACAGAATTAAAAATTTTATATATGACAAAGGCTCAATTCAAATGGAAGAATATAGATTAAACTTACATAGTAAAATAATAGCCTCATAAGAAATTCTAAGAATTGGAGAGAACTTCCAATTCAAAACCAGAAAGCTATAGAAGAAAAACAGATTTATGTAATTATAAAAAGATTATAACTTTTCTATGGAAAAAGATAACTTAAATGCAGTAGCCTGTTTGTGGAACTTGAAAAAATATTTATAAATCAAATAATAAAGATCTTTTAAATTGATGTCAGCAGTCACATGTAAAAATAATCCAAGAACATGAAGGGTTCAAGTCATTGGGTAATCAGGAAGTACAGGTAATGATGAAATATCTAACTATAGCCATCAAAGTCAAGAATACCCTTTCGCTCTGCAGCCTCATTCCTGGGCATCTTATCATAGGCAGGGGCAAGAGCAAATATCACTGGCTGACACAGACCTAAACTCAGCACTCTTTGTAGCAGTAAAGAACAGATGAGAAAATAAATGCCCATCAGTAAGAAAATAGTTAAATAAAAACAGAACTAGAATTATGGATTTGGAGAAATTACCTTCAGTTAGTGGATAAGAAGCATGCTGGAGAAAGGAGTAAATAACACGATTTCGTTTTTGTAAAACAGGGCCTCTCTCCCCTCAAATAAGAAGAAAGAAGTCACACACAAAACCTTCCATAGCCACGTCTCTGAAATGATTGGGACCCTGAGATGGACCCTTTTACTTACATTCTGACAAGGAAAAATTAGAAGACCAATATTTTGCCTTTATAATATGATCAAAGCAGACACCTCTACCAACAGCCCTTTACCTCTTGAATGCTCTACATGATAATATGCAAAGAGTAA